TGTGCATATCACTGGTTGTTTTATCCTGCCTTTATGATTATTTATTTTCTATTATTTTGTATACTATATTGCGCAGGTTATTAGACTAGCGAGTGCCTTGACTGTACCTCGTCTCTACTCCATTGAGGTTAGTTTTGATACTTACTGGGCACCGCTGTGGTGTGCTCACTCTACACTTCTGCACCTTTTTGTGCAGAACCAAGTATTGAAGATAACAGACTTGAGCAAAGTTAAAGCGGGATCGTAAGGATTCAAGGTAGAGCTGCTTGGTTGTCGCAATCCCTTGGAGTCTTTTCATTTCATTGTACTGTTAATTTGTAATCAAACAGTATTGTATATTCGGTTCTCGTGATCATTCTATGTCTTTAATTAGAGTTCGTGACTCAGTACTACCAGTCTTGGGAGGTTGTATATTGTAATTATTTTCGCTGTTAGTTTTGATTATTTATTTAATTCAAAAAAAAAAATAGCTTCAAAAAAATGCAATGAAAATCAACTTACCTAGTCTTAGAGACTAGGTGCCATCACGACTCCTGTGGTGAGATTTTGGATCGTGACAGTTAAAGAAATAGAAAGTGTAAAGGGGGAGTCTTAGAAGAGAGTATTGGTCTGATTTTATAGAAAAAAAGCAAGAAAATAGAACTGCTGAATGTGAGAAGAGGGGTGAAGTTATTTACGTAGAAACAAGAAAAGCATGGGAGCAGAAGAAGGCAGGCGGTAGCATGGTGGAAGTTTTTTTTTAAAAGTTTTATGGTTTCAGGGTTAGTCCTGTTTGGATCTTCTTTACAATTGTTATTTTGGTTCGTACATTGTGTAAGATAAAGAAAATACAAAGGATATGGAGCTGAACGTTGCTTCTATGGATGCAAGGTTAGTAATTTCTCCATTCTTGGAGTTATTATGTCATTTCAAGACTATTGTACATCAATTTTAATATAGCTAAGTAATACGTCTCCGTACAGTGCTTTCTTCAGTGTGTTTCAGCGGTTTCATATGGTGAGGGCTCATGAGCATGATTTTGAAGAAAGTTTTTAGTGGAGACGAGCTCCGACAATATGGTTCAGATGCCATTTGATATGTATTGCGACAATTTTATATTTTTTACTACGAGCCCCTAATGTAGAGCTTGGAAAGGCAGACTTATGGTTAGATTCAATTCTATGAATGAAAAAGAAGTCAGCCTCTGAGTGGAATTACACATGTGGCATATTTTTCGATTATATTTCATATGCAATATTCTACGTATCAGATGTAATTTGCGCATGCAATCCACATGCTTTTACTTGGAAAGGCAGACATATTGCGAGATTCAATTCTATGAATGAAAAAGAAGTCAACCTCTGAGTCCATATGAAGAAAAAGAAGAAGTCAATCTGACTGGCATTACACATGTGGTATATTTGCAGATTTTATTACATATGTGATATATCTGCGTATCAGGTAGATTTTTTCGCATTAATTTAAGCAATTCGCCCGTATTTCACTATTTCTGGCATTTATTTTGGGGTTTACTGTATTTGCTTTCTAGTTATTTAAGTTCTTGCCCAGGCTGTCCAAAAAGAACGAACAATTTGTTTTAGATAAATGAATAGTCATCACAGGCTTTTCCACTGACTTCAACTGATCCAGCATACTATTTGTTACATGATTGTTTTTACTTAGAGATTTGCAAGTTGGATCAAAGTTAAAGCATGTTTTGAATTTTGATTTGGTTGATAGCTTCCTTCATTGTGTACCAAATGTCAAAATAACATATTGGAGTAGATTATATTAAAAGAAAATTAGGGGTTTCATTAGACACTATATTCACTTGGGGTCGTTTGGTTTGAATACGGCTTATGCAGAGATAAGCTATGTTGGGATAAGTTATGTTGGGATTAGTTATGCAGGAATATATTAGTTATCCCGGTATTGTTTTTATCCACTGTTTGGTATGTTGTATTAGAAAAGACAATTGCATAATTTCTAAGAAGAAGTTATAAGTTATCCCGACACTAAGTACCCCACCCTCTACAAGGTATAAGTTATTCCGGTAGTAATTATAATCCCAGGATAACTTATACCAGATTTGCTAACCAAACAAAGTATTAAAATAATATTAAATTTTTATACCAGCACTATACCTTCTTATACCTCATATCAAACGACCGCTTATTGGTTTGATTCGGAAAACTGTAACTAACATGAAAGCCAATAAAATCGAACCTAAGGAAATCGTGACAAAATTAAGCTCTTGAAATAGGTGAAAATTGGTAATATTGAGTGTTGCTTGTGCTTAAATTTAGAAATGTATAGAATAGATTGGTTCCAATTACGGCACATGAGTTGATTTCAGTAAATATTGTACTGTGGGAAGGGAAGACATTGAAAGTTATTGCTTCCCACAACAGAGGCATTGAAAGTTATTGATGAGGATTAACTTTTCATGCATCATATCATTGTATAATACTAAATGATTTTTAATAAGATATGGAGTACTCTATGTTATAACTCTACAGGTTATCTTTTCTTTCTAGAACATACTATCATTTTCCATATTTATGTGTTAAAAAAATTAAATCATAAATTTGGCGAGTTAGTTCACGCTCACGCGGACAGTTCACTAGTTGATAATAAATAATTTTGAACCCCTTACACTGCTACGTCTAATTATCCAAAACTATATTTCTCTTATTTTATTGATTTTAATTTCGTTTCAGATGCAGGTGAGTGGATGATCCGGTGCCGGCCCAAGGTAAGGCTACTAAAGCAGCTGCTATGAGGCCCCAAAATTTTTTAATAGGTTATATAGTAATTTATTTTTAGAAAAATATTTAGTGTTTTAAATGAGAAAGTACAAATTTTCATAATAAAAAAGTATGATTAAATTGTTGATCATAAATTGAGAAAAAATGTCTTTTGGGGAATCACTCTCTAGACCATAAATTGAAAAAGGATTCGATTATTAATTCATAACTCATAAAAAGTTAAAACCTTAAAACAGTCCCACAACGTGTATATCTCAAAAAATATTAAATAGATTAGATAAAATTATTAATAACTTTACATATAAAAACTAAAACTACAGAATTTAAATGAAATTATATATGAATTGTGTGTATCGTCTTTGAGACATCTACTATCCAAAACACTGCTAAGTTTTAGAGTGGTTGGCCGTTTGAGTTGCTTAGCGTGCGAATGTAGGCAGGTAATCACAAATGAAATGAAGGAAAAGCAACATATTTAGCTTTTCGAAAAAAATTATTTTACTGTCACTATAATTTTTGTGTGATAAAATAAAGTTATATGACTTTGATAAAAACAAATAGTAGTTAGTAAATGTGAAATTATCCTTCCAATTGATGATAAACTGAAATACTACACTTTTGACAAACCCAAGCACAAACTTGTTGCATGAGCATAAATATTAAACAAAAACCCAAAGCAAAAGCTACAATTAACGAAAAAGAAAAAAGAAGAAACACAACAGACTATAATTAAGGTACCGGCACACAACATGTGGTTCGATTCTTACTGGTCCCTTTACCTTACCCTTCCATGTAACAGAAAATTTTATAAGCTACTAACTAATTGGTGCATAGAGGGAGTTCCTCTATGAACATTTTTTCTACTGTATTTAATTTTCATGGACCAGGCTTGAAATCAATATGATCATCAGCAAATCTAACTCCTCCTTTACCTGCAATATTCTTAAAAGGCTTAGACCCCTTATAATGATCTCCATGTGCTGCAGCCACTTTAGAACTTGCAATTCTCTTATCAAATCCAAATTCTATATCCCCTTGACCTCTTTGATGAAATTCATTATGCTTCTGTTTTCCCTCTTTCTGTTTTTGTGGGTGACCATTGCTTTTCTTCACCTTAGGACCATGGCTTTTCTTGCTGCAGAGACGTCCAACGACACAAGCAATGAGAGATATCACCAAAACTATAGCCAAGACAACGAAAACACTGACAAATGAACCATTTGAATGAGAAGAAGAAGAAGAAGAAGAAGAAGATTGAGTTGGGATATTGTTTGCCTGATTAGGGAAATTGTTTGGATTATTAGGATAGACTTGAACGGGTTGTTGCGGTTCCAATTGAGACATTTTCTTGGAATTTTGGCTGAGACAAGTTAGGGTAAGCAGAACAGAGGTCAACAGCTGAAAGCGATTGAGTTCAGTAGTTTGACTAACGGGGCAAACTTGTTTTTAGACTAAAATCTAAGGTTGTGTTCTTTGAGTGAAACCAAAGGAATGTCTTTGAGAAGTAATGGGAGAACAAACATTAGCTAAAACAATACATGTGGGAATATTTCATTTTATAAAGCATGATTCTTGATTTTGGTGTGATAGGGTTCTAGGCTAATATCTCTAAGGTGTTTGAGTGAAACAAGAGAAGACTTAGGAGAAGCAATGGAATAATAAGCAATTATCAAGAATCATACATGTGGGGTTATTGTACTCCATTAGGTTACATATATTCTTGGTTTGGTTTGAGGGGGGGTTTTGAATTCAAAAAAGGGGTGCTTTTTCTTTAATAAAGAGAGACAACTAAAGATATTCTTGATGTCCTTTACTGCAGGAAGGAAGAGTATTTTAATTTTGTTTGCTTTGTTAGGAGAGAAAGTAAGATTTTGGCTTTCCTCCCTTTGAATACTTCACTAATCTGTTGAATTTCACAACGCCCCATGAAAGTCTCTTATTCCAACATGGCTCAGCTACTTTCACTTTACTGTCTTATTACTCTGTATTATGTCTATAAATAATGCAGCAGAGACTGTTATGTCAGTGTAGTCAGTACAGAACTTACATGCCTGAATTTGTCTAGATCTGTTATGGTACTTTTACAATAATGCTTAGTTGATTAGCATATTAATCACGAGATTTTAAACTTCTAATGATTTGGATTTTTTCCAAACATATGAAAATTTATTAACGAATTCAGAATTTTAACTTTATGGATTGGGATGCCATTAACCCTGTTGATCGTTTGAATTACTACGTTCAAAATTTAATATGTGTTTATGTAGTATATTTCTTAACACACAAACATATATATATATATATATATATATATATATATATATCAAAACTACTGAACTCATACCTTATACTTTACATCCGTCCCTGCATAAAATAATCATGCACAACATTTGATTGAATAAGTGATACACATATATATTCTTCTTGTTTTATGCAATTAATTGAATCAACTAAACAAATAACAAATTATATGAGTTATTATGATTTGTTATCACAAGTACTCACTCCAGCCCACATTTTTTCACCACATCTCACTATTTGGATGTCTGGAGATATTGCCCATATTCAATGATGAATGTACATCAATCTTCGACTTTCCAACAGTGTTCTCAGCACACAATTGTAGGATCATTGTCACCTTTTCTGAAAGGTTAAACACACGGTAGATCATGTCCCTTAGAACTTTTGACTTTTCAAACTTCAAAAAAAAAAAATTTAAGTTATATATTTTCATGATGTAAAGAACTTTCATATTATTGTTGTAATTTTCACATAATCATATTAGGCTTAATCTGTAGAGTTATATGTTGTAGATCAACGCAATCTGTTAGGAAAGTTTTTTTTACTGTCCGAACTTAAAATATAAACTCAAAACAATAGTGCGGAGGAAACAATGATTTGGAGAATAACTTATTGGGAAAAAGCAAATTGAAATCTAATTGGGATTTGGATTGAAAATAAGAGATTAATTATTTTCTCGCTAATGGAGTAGAACAAGTTGCTGAAATCGAGGAGGATATGTCATATGTGAAATGGCCTTTAATTATCGCCGTATAATGTTGTGATCTAATCTTCAGTCATGATGATTTTGGGCATAAAAGTGAAGGTGGTCATATTGTTTGCATTGGTGGGATAAAAAGGAGAAAATAATCATAATGTGAAATGTGGAAAAGTAGGTATGAATCCACCAACAAAAATAAAAGTGTCAAAGAAGAGTTTTCCGATGCAAAAATAAGAAAAAAATGGAGAAAAATATATAGTGATGGGAGTAATTTGGGACGCACTTTGCTTTGATTCGTTTCTTTATTCCTTGGCTTTCGGGAAAGTAATGTAGGATATGATCTTGCTTGAGTTGGGGGTAGGATTCTTTTGTCTTCCAATGATTAGACCATTAATATGCTTATTGTAATCACTTTACACTTTATTAAACCTTTTATTCACCTTGGTTATTTTCGGAAGGATTAAAAACATTCTCGTTTTAATTACTTCTAAGTTCTAAATAGGACTGGACGTCCAGTCTAGCAGGTTGAGCCTGAATCGAGCCTAATTGGGTTCACTATAATATTAAGTTGAGTTGAGTGCAAGCTAAGTTCAACTAAATTTGATATAATAGCGAGCCTAATTAAAGTTTGTTAAATTAATCGAGCTGAGCTAGAGACGATTTTATGGCCATGCCTACTTCTAAAGGATTCGAACCTCCAATCTACTAATATGGAGCATAGGTATTCTATCAACTAAACAAACCTTCATTAAAATTTGGTGATCCAAACCAACAGACGCTAAAAAAGAAAAGGAAAAAGGAAGCAGGCGAGAGAAAGAAGGAAAGGAGAAAGAAATTGAAGACCAAAAAAAAAATTTATGCAGCCTCATGGCCCTCTCTTTTACTGTTACGCTCTGCTTTCATTCCTTTTAAGGAGAGGGTTTTTGATGGGCTCTTTTAAAAATAAAAAAAAGAATATGGCATACATAATTGAAGTTTACTCGGATAAATATTTTCCGAATCTTCTTTGCAAACTGAAGACGTTCATTTGAAAAAAAAAATTGTATACGGTTTTGCTGTTTGATCGAGACAAGGGAGTTGCATTGGAGGTAGCCTCGTAATAAATCAGACCCGAGCTCGAAGATGAGACATCGAGCCTAGAGATCGAAGTGTAAGTTGAGACCGAGACCAGCAACAATCGAGACCAAGTATGACCGACTTCGAGGGGAGCATAATAACAGAATGGCGAAACATCCGTAACCAGTCGAAGATCACGGCGAAAATCCCGGAACAGATCAAATCAAGAGCGGTTATTGGTACCAATCATGTGATTTATTTCCGTAATTAGAATTGCACCATATTTAGGATTCCTCTATTATATAAAGAGGGATTCCATTCACTTGTAAGAAAAATAATCATTATTCACTGATAAGAATATACACATACGTTGCTTTCTTTGTTTTACTTATTACTCATCATTGTTTGTTCCATCCTCTAATGTTCTTATTAACTAACCTCGAGACTATCTCGAATCGAGGTCGAGGCATTATTTGCAGACCGGTTTGATTTATTCTATTGTTCAATTTATCTATTTAATTCTTTGTTTATCAATTGGTACTGGTTTAAATCGCATATCCTTAAAACCACAATAAGAGTTTAATTGTTACTCAATTTTTAGGGTAAACAGTTTGGCGCCCACCGTGGGGCTAAGGATAATAGTGATTGTTCAGTAATGATTCTGATAAAATACATTATTTTACGCTTGTTCTTGTCAAGTATCTTTGCTTTGAGGTTGAAACATGTCAAACTCACAAAACGCATCCACATACGGTGACAGTGGCCTCAGACTCCACGGTGAAAACGAAAATGTGATTGCTCTAGGAGTCGAGGTGCCACAGGCTAATCTCGGGGAAGCACCGGTTGCCAACCCAGTCGATGTCAGTTCGCACGTTACTCTAAATGCGGACCTAGGCGCAGATCTTGATGGGAGTGTATGCAGAGAAGGCCGATCTAGTGGCCAAGTAATACAGGGTAGAAGAGATGAAGGAGTCAGTCTCCAAGTGATATTCGAGATGCTTCAGGCTCAGAAAGCCGTTATTGCTCAGTTACAAAATCAACATAGAGCTCCGAATAGGGTCGAGCCGGAAATTACTCGTTGTACCGAGCAAGTACCGGAAAGGTCGAATGGTAACGAGTCGGGAACTAATCCTGCAGTAATGAAAATCCTCGAGGAGCTTACCAAAAGAATCAAATCAACTGTCGAAGAGCTAGAACGTGTTATATTGATCGAATACCTGCCCGAGCGAAAGGTATACTTGGGAACGGGATTAACCCCCGAACTCAGGAAAAAGCTTATTCAATTTCTTATTGATAACATAGAGTGTTTTGTGTGGTCCCATTTAGACATGACAGGGATCACACCGGAGATAACGACGCATCGGCTAAGCCTGGACCCTAGGTTCAAACCGATGAAGCAAAAGAGAAGACCTCAGTCCGATGTAAATCACGCATTCATAAAGGACGAGGTAACTAAACTTCTCAAAATAGGGTCCATTCGAGAGGTGAAATATCCCGAATGGGTACCCAATGTAGTTGTAGTCCATAAAAAGGTAACAAACTTAAAATGTATGTAGATTATAAGGATTTAAACAAGGCGTGCCCCAAGGATTCTTTTCCACTACCTAACATCGATCGCATGATCGATGCCACGACCAGCCACGAGATCCTTACTTTTCTCGATGCCTATTCCGAGTACAATCAAATCTAAATGAACCGGAGGACCAAGAAAAGATTTCATTTATCACCAAGTATGGAACATATTGTTATAATGTAATTTCCTTCGGGCTAAAAAATATAGGAGCTACTTATCAATGCCTAGTAAATAAAATGTTCTAAAAACAAATAGGTAAATCAATGGAAGTTTATATTGATGACATGCTAGTTAAGTCCCTGCGCGCAGAGGACCATTTGGCTCATTTGCAGGAAACGTTCGAGATTTTAAGGAAATACAACATGAAGCTCAACCCCGAGAAATGTATTTTCGGGGTCAGTTTGGGCAAGTTCCTTGGCTTCATGGTATCGAATTGGGGGATCGAGATCAACCCAGATAAAATCAAGGCCATCAAAAACATCACCATCGTGGACAGTGTAAAAGTCGTGCAGAGGCTAACTGGACGGATAACTGCTGTAGGCCGATTCATTTCGAGGTCATCGGATGGAAGCCACATATTTTTCTCTCTACTCAAAAAGAAGAATGATTTCGCCTGGACCCTAGAATGCCAACAGGCATTAGAGGAATTGAAGCGATACCTATCGAGCCCACCACTACTTCACACTCCAAAGGCATATGACAAACTTTACTTGTACTTGGCAGTATCGGAAATCACGATAAGAGGTGTCCTAGTTCGAGAAGATCAAGGTACGTAATTTTCCGTTTATTATGTAAGTCAAACCTTAGGAGAAGCAGAAACTAGATATCCACACTTGGCGAAATTGGCACTTGCACTAATAAGCGCCTCTAGAAAGTTAAGACCATACTTTTAGTGTCACCCCATATGCATATTAACCACTTACCAACTTCATAATATTTTGCACAAGCCCGAACTATCGGGCCGATTGGCCAAATGGGCCGTCGAACTCAGTGGGTACGATATCGAATATCAACCCCGGACAACCATCAAGTCTCAAATTTTAGCGGACTTTGTGGTCGATTTCACGCTAACCCTCGTATCCGAAGTTGAAAAGGAACTCTTGTTAAAATCCGGTACATCATCGGGGGTATGGACCATCTTCACAGACAGTGCTTCGAATGTGAAGGGGTCCGGGCTAGGCATCATTTTGAAGCCGCCCACGGGTAGCACTATTAGGCAATCTATCAAAACTTCTATGCTGACTAACAATGAGGCCGAGTACGAGGCCATGATTGTAGGTCTCGAGCAAGCTAAAAGCTTGGGAGCAGAAGTCATTGA